CGGTTTCCCGGGGCTGCCAATCCTGCCTGGCAGGAGGGCGAGTAAGGAGAAACCTGCCCGCCTCTCCCAGCACCACCTGCCCAGCCCCTGGTCACTCACTAGCAAACAGCTGGAAAGCGTGGAGCCAGTGCCCACACACACTCAGCTGGTCTCCAGATATCTGCTCAGCATCGCCCGGGCCCACACCTGTGCAAGGTGCTGGCTGTGCTCTGGTTTGCTCCCATTAGCATTCTGTCACATGGGCAAGGAAGGGCACTGAGATATACTCCCAGAAAAACCCTTAGCAAACTCGGATGCCCCAATGAGACACTCCCAAATGTGGACAGCCCCTTGCCTCATCTCCTTGAAGCAAAAGGGCACTGATTCATATATTTCAAAATCCAAAAAAGTCCACACAAGTCCTCTGAGCCAGAGCTTTGCTGGGACCTGAATGCCCCCACCTTTCCTGAACACTTCCGGATAGAGCACAGCGAGAGTGTGGACTCCTTTGTTTCTCAAGCATATCCATAATTTTTCCTATCTTTTAACCTGTCAGAGAATAAGCAAAAAAATAATGTCCATGTGCAATAAATAACTGTTGGCAAAAGACTTGCTGATCAAGGCTTTTTTTTAGAACCCAGAGTTGTATTTCTTACAGATTCAGAAAACCGGTGTTAAGTTGTGTGGTTTGGATATGGCTCTGCAGGGTGAGCAGAGAGAGGTATTGCAGAACCCATTTCCTTCTGTTGCTTCCCTTCCACTTTCCTGGGCGGCTCTCCAGTCTCTGTGTGTGTTTAAACAGGGCCCAAGCCCACACGCAATTCCCTAGTAAGTATACTCTGATCAATATATCAAATGTGACCCCTCATTAAGAGGGTTGCTGATAATAAAACAGAATTCTTGCCGAAACTGATTTGGCTCAGTGGATAGAGCATCGGCCTATGGACTCAAGGATCCCAGCATGTACCTTGCTTGCGGGCACATCCCCAGTAGCGGGTGTGCAGGAGGCAGCTGACTGATGTTTCTCGATGTTTCTAACTCTCTATCCCTCTCCCTTCCTCTCTGAAAAATCAATAAAATATATTTAAAAATAAATAAAACTGAGAATTCTTTTTTGACTATAAAAATGGCAAAAATTTAAAAATAAACTATATGCAACTCTAATTGAGGAACAAAATTTGAAGTGTTTTCAAACATTTGTGAGAATATAAACTCCTAAGGTCTTTCTAAAAAGCAATTTAGCCATATAGACCAAGAGCTTATACCCTTTGAAACAGTAATTCCCCAACTTAAAATGTAAGGAAATAGGCAGTGATAAGCAGGAGTATATATTTATATATTATTCACTATAAAATAGTAGTAAAAATTATTTGAAATAAGCCACAAGTCAAAAAAAAAAGATTAATCACATACATTACAATGTAATCATAGGATAGGGTATTATACAACTAGTAAATATATTGTTTTAAAGAATATGTAACAGCAACTTACATAGATAATTTGAAAACTACAGGTTATAATTGTATCTTATGATCTCAATTGTAATTATGATCTCAATTTTTTAAAATATGGACATACATGTACTTGATATAAGATGAGGACATATACTACAGCGTTAATAGCAGTTCTCTGTGAATGATAGGGTCACAAACTGTTTTTTTATCTTTTTAACTTTCCTATCTTGGCTACATTTTCTCCAGTAAAAAAAATAACATTTCATATCTTTATATCTAAAGAGATCTAGCTATATAAACAAATACATAAATATTTTAAGAATTGATGAATATTCATAGTCTGTCCCTTTACTCACCTAAATTAAGAAACATTTCTCATTAATCTAGAAGGTTCCAGAAGTAGCTTCTATAGCTAGATATTGTCAATAATATCTAGAACCAAAAAGCTAATATGTATGCACTCACACACATGGGTGTTTCAAAGCTAAGGCAGAACACTGTCTGACCCAAACCGTTCACACTCCTGAGTTTGAGCCAGTTCTACATTATCCAGGCTCAACTGTTTCTACATCTCCTTTCTCTCATTACTTCTTGGGAAAGTCTCCATTATGGAAGAAAAAAAAAAAAAAAAAGGCAGAGAAAGAAATTAAGACCAAATCAGCAGTGTGCCTGCATGTGCCTGGGTCCAAAGGCTTTGAAGGGACCTAAATCTAATGACTAAAATGGGATTTGGAAACAAATTCTCTGCACTTGAATAATTCATGCTACACCCATCCCTGGGGAAAGCTGAAAGCTACTAATTTGTTTTAAGAATCGAAGTGCATGCAGAGGGTGCCAGAAGTCCCTTGCAGATGATGGTGTAAGGTTCCCTCAAATGTGTGTGTCACAGGGTAGGTGTCAAAATCAACCCTCCAGAAAAGGCTCATCAGTCCTCTAAAAAGAATACTAAATGCAGCAAGTCCTTCCAGAAAGGAATAGAGAGAGGAAAGGGCCAAGTCATAAATAAATTACAAAAGGCGCTTCATTTCTGCAAGAAGGGACAGGCACTACAGGATCTGAGAACTCCACTGATGATGGATTCCTGAGTGCTTCTGACTAAATAATAGGTCTCCGCAACAGATGTGCATGTGTGTATGCATAAGATGTGTGTCTGTGCGTGCACATGCGTGCATGTGTGCATGCGTGAATATGCTTGGCTAGAAGTGTAAGTGTACTAGTATGTGTACAAGTGGGGCGTGGGGCGTGGGGCGTGTGTGTATAGAAGTAAGTAGATGTGGGGGCTGTGCTAGTGGGTGCATAAGGGTGGTGTGGTAGGGAATCAGAGGTAGGGTGTGGAAAGTAATAAGAAAGAAGAGTAAATGTTCTAATAAAACACACTTCGTAAGTGAACTAAAAGGAATCAATACATTTTAGACCACTGCGGAAATTCTGATTAAAAAAGAGAAACTGATATTATAAAAGCTATAAATATCACCAATATGATAACATTCAAATTAGGTAAGTTCCAACACATTACAAGATAAGGACCATCTCTATGTTGATCATTTAGGAAATTCGATATCAATCCATACTCTCCCTAGCTCCACTCAGCTGAAGCCCAGAAGATCTTCAATCAAGGCCTGAACCATTCCAACCAATCCTGGTCACATGCCTGGAGCCCAAGCCTCACCAATAGCAGAATCTGGAGAGTGACTCCTATTACCAATAGCCTGGCCTGAACTTCTGCACATGCACATGAGTGCACATGAGTGTATGTGAGTACACATACACACACACACACACACACACACACACACACACAGCGACAGCCTTCACCAGCCAGTCTCCCCACCCACCCATGATCACCACACATGGCTGCTCTCCTGCCTCATGTTCATGTACAGTTGTGCCTTGCTTGGTTCCTTCCATCCTTCCACCCACACATCCAAAAATAATTGAGAGCATTCTATATGCTACTCACTGGTGACCTCATCTACATGCCCAGCCTGCTCAGTTGGAGCATACACACCTGGATTAACTCTTGTCTACCTCCTTCCCCAAACCTAAATATTGAACCTTGATCCCCACATCCCCAGCTCTCAGGTACTGCTTCAAACTGGAGATGTCCCTAAACAGTTCCCACTCAGCAATGCAAGGGAAGCCTCTCCCAGAAGCCCCCATTACCTTGTTTATCTCACCACCCCACTCCACCACACATAAGCCACATGCACAAACATACATAGACACATGTGCCAAGATCTGGTTCCTTGACATCAACCCAAGTTAAGCTGATGTTCCCTGCCCCCTTGCCAACATGAAATTTACTCCTGGCACCAACCTCACCCCCACCTCCACCCCCACAATGTATGTTCATCTCTAGCTCAGGTCCCACTCATCTCCACTTCTACCAGTCCAGTCTAGAATTATAATTCTGACAGGTATTACAGCCAAGATCATACAACAAAAATACAAGACTGTGTTTTTTTGGTCAAAATGTACACAAAATAATATATATATATATATATATATATATATATATATATATATATATATGCCTAAGCAACTGTTATGACCGAACAACCAGAATGACAGTCAACCAGTCACTATGACACACACTGACCACCAGGAGGCAGACGTTCAACACAGGAACTGCCCCCTGGTGTTCAGTGTGCTCCCATGGCCAACTTCCCATGGCCCCTCCCCCGAGCTGGCTGCCCCCATAGAACCCTGGTGCTAAGCCATGCCCAGAAACCATACCCTCTTCTCCCTACCCTGCCAGAGCCTTCGGGCTGGGCTGGGACAGGAAACCGGGGGTGGATGGCAACAAACACGGCCCCTTTCCCGGGGGGGTTATGGGGGGGGCAAGGGCCAGCTCCCTCCTCAGGGCCGGCAGCCAACCTCCCGAGGTCCCTCCCCACAAGCTGGCCAACCTCACACAGTTTCCCCCCACCATGCACAAATTAGTGCACAGGGCCTCTAGTATTAATATAAAACTTTGCATAGCACCAGACTCACAAACATTTATTGACACTTTCCTCATTGTCTGTCTGGATCTACAGACACTACTAAAATAGAAGAAAGGAGCACTTTGAACTCAAACAACACGGAATAGTGTACTTTCACCTACCTGTGAAAAATCTAAGATCAGGTGAGACAAAAGGAGCAGTGAGTCCATCAGCCCACTGTGCTCACTGCAGCAGTGGGCACACCAGAAAGTGGTACACTACCACCGTCCCAAGGCAAATAATGAAGAGCAACAAGACAAGGGCACGAGTCAGGAATCAAGCCCTATTTCAACAACACGTGTTAAGTCCCTTTGTAGGGAGCTGGGAGAAAAGCCCCGATGTAGACATGGCAAGATTTGTGCCAGCTTTGCCAGAACACAACATGAACAAGACGGCAGATGAGAAGCCCAGTGTCTCCTCCACCCGTACATTTCCTGATCACAGAAAACACCCTGGCCCTGGACACCCCCGCCTGGTGTCTCCATCCAGCTCCCAGGCATCAGCCTAGCATTCGCCACTGCGTTACCCCTACCCTGCCCCCGCCCAGCAACTCCCAAAACCTGAAGAGGCTCGTAGTGCTTGCCTTTGATCAACCGCTCAGGCCTCGTCCCGGGTAAGGTCCACATTGCCTGTGCCAAGTGTCCAAAGACAGTGGCGTCGAGAGTGGAGAACTTGGGCCCCATGATGTACTTCTTATCACCTGCAGCAGACAGAACAGAGAGGTCACTGCTGGCCAGCACTGCCCCGCCCGGTCACACGGCACTCAGCACACTTGCATTATGTGCTCATTTAACTGTGAATCAAAAGCTCTGCAGAGTCCAAATGCATGCATCCCTCTTTCCTTCAAAAAATGAGAAACAAAAGTAAAACGAATTGAACAATTCTGTGATATATCAACCCATACCATTGCAAAGCAGGGAAGTAACTGGCAAGATGTCAAGATAAACAGATAAGGGAGGAGGTTCATGGGGGGAAAGGACAACAGATCACTCTCCGACCTGGAGGTACCTCTTCTCCAACTCTAGTGACTGAAGCTTGAGAAACACCTGGAAGCTCGCTTAAACCATCTCAAAAGTAACCCAAGCCAAGCACACCAAGCTCATCACTCACTTTATTAATTTAATACATTTCCTTGAGGACAATAAGAGGCCTAAGTTAAGAAGTTTGGAGGCAAGGTTTTCCATGATGCCTCCTTGGTGTTGGCATGGTTCTCTCCACTAAGCATCAGCTCCATGGGAGACACCACAGAAGGAAAAGCTAGAAAACTACAGGCCCCGCCCAGAATCGGGACATTTCACACTGCTGCTCCCACCTCTCTTTTCCCGCCCCTCCTGACCTAGGTCAGGCCTTGTCACCTTGACTATCACATCTGGCCTAGTTTGTCTCCTGGGCCACCGTGAGGTGCTGTAACATATAGAGGCAGCACAGGTGAACGTGATCCACCTAGTTCACTGTGGGAGACTGGTCTTTATCCTCTTAAAGCCTCCGTTTTCCCATCTGGGAAATGGAGATGATATTAGTGGTGCCCATTTCTCAGAGCTGCTGTGAGGAGTAAATACATAATGCACGTAGAGCACATAGCACCATATCTCAGTGAACTTTACTGGGTGACTCAGTAAACATTAGCTCAGATCGCCAGTCCATCCCATACTCCTGAACATAAAAACTCTCTAAGACACTCTTTCATCATATCCCTCCCTTTCACATATACCTTTAACGGTTTACAAAATGTCTTATAAAGTAAAAGTCCAAACTTAACTATGAATTCAAGCTCATTATACTCTGCCTTCAACCCATGTCTCAGTTTATTCCACATTCCTCCCTTTCTCTAGTAAATCTAAGGAGCACCCAGCAGTCCCCAGGACACTTTATGCTTCCTACTGCTCATGCTGCACTTACCCCTTTTCTGCTCCCCTAAAACCTATGTGCTCCCCACTTCCCTCCATATGATAAAGACTATCATCTTATGAGATTCAGCTTCAAAGCTTTCTGTGATCACGTTATCTGGTGGCAACAGTAATTTTAGTTCAGACAGCCCTGTGTTCAAATCTCACTTTTACATGTACAGCCTTATAGAATCTTACGTCATTTAATGCCAATCAACGTCAATTTCTTAAACCGTATATTGGTTGTTTTCATTTGTTGATTTTATCTTTCCAACTAAATGGTGAGCTCTTTGAAAGTAAGCTCTTATTTTTATTTAGCAAACTCCAGTACGGTGTTTCCTACCCACCAGGCATGGTTCTGCATGCTGTACTCTACAAATACCTACCTGTTTCTCTGATCCTGAGTGGCAAGCTGAGAAAATTAAATACCTGATGACAACACACAGGCAAGCTAAGAGGGGAATGCAAGCTAACAGATCGATGCTATTATAAAGGTGTTGGTGAACCCTAAGGTGGTAATCATATTGCAATATATACATATATCAAATCAACTAGGTGTATGGTCCAACTTACACAATATTATATATACATCAATTATATCTCAATTTCAAAAAACTAAAACAACAAGGAGCTGGAGACTATTTTTTAAATTTTTATTTCTACTCTATTTTCCACAGGGACCAGGGAATAACCTACACTAGTACAACATGCTGAACCAACCGAATTGTCTTTTCTGGTGAGGACAAGCAAGTTGTCCGTGCTAGAGCCTTTTGCTCTGCCTAATATACCTCGTGGGCCATCATCTCAGCAATAAAGACCCCATGGGGCAACAGGAGGGCTGAACTGTGGATGTTTACAAAAAGATGCTTTTCCATGAGGAATACAGAATACAGAGGGAGCAGAAGTTTCAGGTTTTTAAAAGGTGCTAGCAAACAGCCCAACCAGAGTGGTTCAGTGATTTGAGCGTCGACCTATGAACCAAGAGGTCACAGTTCAATTCCTGATTAGGGCATATGCCTGGATTGCGGGCTCCATCCCCAGTGTGGGACATGCAGAAAGCAGCCAATCAGTGATTCTCTCTCATCATTGATGTTTCTATCTCTCCCTCTCCATTCCTTTCTGAAATCAATAAAAATATATTTTTAAACGTGCTAGCAAACAAAACTGGTGAAATTTATCATTTGTGGGAATAGTGAATGGTAGATAGAAAATATGTGTATACACATACAACATTTATAAATTTAAAGACTATAAAAATATCCTGTTACTTAAAAAGTCCTTCAAGTACCCAATGGCAGGTAGCATTATAAAAACATTTTATTTTTAAATAATTTTAGACTCACAGAAAAGTTATAAAAATAGCCGATGTGCTGTACACTTTTCAACCACCGTTTTCAATTATTAACATTTTATATAACCACAGTACATTTATCAAAACTAGGAAACTGACATTACTACAACACTATTAACTGCACTATAGACATCATTCAAATTTTATTAGTTTTTCAACTAATGTTCTTTCCCATTCTGGGATCCAGTCCCTGAGCTCACATCGCATTTAGTTGTCATGCCTCCTTTCTCCTCGACCTGTGAAACTGCTCAGTCTACCCTTCCTTTTCATAACCTTGAACTTTTAAAGAATACTGGTCAGTTCTTTTGTAAACATGTTCATCAATCTGGGTTTGTCTAAGCTTTTTATGATTAGACTAGATACCTAGTGCATGAAAATTCATGCACTGGAGGGGGGCGTTCCCTCAGCCCAGCCTGCTGCCTGTCACAGTCTGGGAGCCCGCGGGGGCAGGAGGTGACCTGGTGATCGGGGAAAGGTGACACTCGCCGAAACCGGTTTGGCTCAGTGGATAGAGCGTCAGCCTGTGGACTGAAAGGTCCTGGGTTCGATTCCGGTCAAGGGCATGTACCTTGGTTGCAGGCACATCCCCAGTAGGGGGTGTGCAAGAGGCAGCTGATCGATGATTCTCTCTCATCGATGTTTCTAACTCTCTATCCCTCTCATCCTCTCTGTAAAAAATCAATAAAATATATATTAAAAAAAAGAAAAGAAAAAGAAAGGTGACACTCAATTACACCTCTGCTGCTGCCATGGCTGGCAGCACAAGTCTCGACCAGTCCTAGTTACCTGAGCCTTGGGTGGCCCTGGGCAGCTGGGCAGCCACCATTTGAGGCTTGCCTGCACCTCAGGCCAGTCCTGGGTGGCTGGGGGGCTGAGGGGATTGGGGAACTCCAGAGGCAGGTATGCAGAGTGGCTGGGCCCACTTGGAGGTGACTACCACCCCAGCAGGGCTGAGGGAACTGGGCACCACCATCTTGTGGCTGTGGGTGCCATCATCTCTAAGGGCATGGCAGTCAATTAGCATATTTCCTCCTTATTAGCTGTGGGTGCCACTATCTTTGAGGGCAGTCAATCAATTAGCATATTCCCTCTTTATTGGCTATTGGGCACTGCCATATTTGAGGGCAGGCTATCAATTAGCATATTCTCTCCTTATTGGCTGTGGGTGCCACCATCTTTGTGACAGTGTGAGGTCAATTAGCATATTCCCTCTTTATTAGATAGGACTAGGTCATGTATTTTTTTTTAATTGTTTAAAGTATTACAAATAGTTATACATATGTCTTCTTTTTTTCCCATTGACCTTCCCCTGGCCTCCCCTATCCCCCCCTAGGTCATGTGTTTTTGGTCAGATATCAAAGAAGCATTATTATACCCTTCTGTGGTGATTAATTTTTTTGTCAATTTGACTAGGCTATGAAGTGCTCAGTTCTTTGGTCAAACATTATTCTGGGTGCTTTTATGAGGGTATCTTGGATGAGAGGAACAATTTAAGTGGTAGATTGAGTAAAACAGATTTCCCTCTAATGTGGGTGGGCCTTGTCTGATGAGTTGAAGGTCTGACTGGAACAGAAAGGCTGACTCTCTTCCAAGCAAGAAAGAACCCAAACTAGTATATGGGCTTTTCCTGCCTTCAGACTCAAACCACACCATCAGCTATCCTGGGTCCAAGTTTGCCAACTCACCCTGCAGACCTTTGGACTGTCAGCTTCCATAATTGCATGAGCCAATTCTTTATACTAAATCTTTATACTAAATTTATTTTCTTATAATATATTAATCTGTTTCTCTGGGAACCCTGAATAATACACCTTCTCAGAGCATCAAATCAGAGAGTCCATAATGTCCATGTCTTGTCACTGAAGATGTTAACCTTGACCATGACATAAAGATAGTGTCTGTGAGGTTTCTTCACTGTCATGATACTATTTTTCCTTTTGCAATTAGCAATCTTAGGAGAGATATTTTGAGACTGTATAAACCTCCTGTTTCTCCACAAACTTTAGCTCTTTGATGTTTTAACACCCATTGGTGGATGTTATCTGAAACAATTACTTCCGTAGTGTTTGCCTAATCAAGATTTTCTATTTATCTCATTCCTTCTACAGGTATTGATTAAATGTCTACTGTTCACTTCATTCCTCATTTACTAATGTATTCAATTATTTATTTATGTTAAGTATGCACTTATAGATAATTATTTTATCCTGTGACTCATAATCCAGTACTCTTATTATTTATTTTGTTGCTCAAATTGTTCCAGCTTTGGCCTTCTGAACCTTGGCAGGAAGTGTTTTTAAGAGGGAACCTGCATTTAGATTTGACTTTTTAGAGGCAGCCACGCCAAGCTAAAGTCTCAAGTCTGAGCACACCAGGTTTTCCCAGTAATTGCAGATCTCACAATCTGAGGGTTTTAGCAAAACCAAAGCATTCAGGGCACTTCCAAAGGGTTCTGAAAAAGCA